TTAGTAAAGAATAAAATAAATAATAATAATTTTTAAAAAAAACCGAGCTCAAGGAGAATGCAAACAGAGCTGAATACAGCAAATATTTCTGACTCCCGCAGCCTCTTGAAATGTTAGTTGGGAGCAATTCCTTTTGTCTCTTTCAGTGCGCACGAGGAGATTGCTAGAACATCATTACTGCAAAACTGGAAAGAGGAATGCGAGTGATTTAGGAAAAGAAAAAAAAAAAGCACATTTTTAGAATTAAATATGAAGCAACGCATGTTTCTTGGTTTTATAAAGACATTTATTTACTCTATGAAAATAATGTACAATAAATAATTTGCCATTTACTATTAAAGAATCTGAATAAATAGTCTACATCTAAAACTTAAAAAGAGGAAGGAAAATTCCTCTGATTTATTTTTTATTTTATTAAGAAATCTAAAAGTCTTGTTCTGATTCCTGAGAAAGTCGCTTGAAGGATTTACAAATGTTTTCTCTTGGGGACTGACATCTCTGATGTGCGTGAGAACTATTGGGTGCTTTCTTTAAAATAAATAAGGGGAAAAAAATAAAACTATAAATAAATACCTGCGTTTAGCAAAAATCGGGCTGTTCTTTCACGTGAGCCTTCTAGAATAAATATTGGGAGGGCGATTCGGCTCCCACGGTGTGAGGAGCTTTAAAAGAAAGCGTTTGGGAAAGCGAGGGCGGGATGATTGAATGAGCGATGGTTTGAGTTTGGGCTTATTTTTGGGGGTGCTTCCCCACCACCAGCACCCTTGCTGGAGACTGGGGGGAGCCGGCAGCGGCTCGGGATGGAGCTGGTGCGCCTGGAAGGGGCAAGGGGGAGGCTATTGGAAGTTTAAATGTTGCAAATCTATGGTACAAAGTGCGCTCGTAAAAAAGTCCAGGTCTTCCTCGGAGAAGTGGAGGGGGCTCTCCAGGGAGCCCCCCGGGAGAGCGGGGGAAAGCCCCTCCGAGAGCTGCAGGCAGGACTCCGCCGAGAAGATGCTCAGCTCTGACAACAAAGGCGAGTCCTGGCTCTCGGGGTAACCACGCTCTGAGGGGCCGGAGGCGGCGAGGATGGGCTCCCCACCGGCCGCAACGAACC